AATAATAGAAGTTAAAAATAGAGAATAAAAGAACAATGAAAAAATTTCCTCAGCTTAAGAAAGATTTGAGTGTTCAGTTTAGAATGACTCATGAATTAATAAATATAACACGACATCTCTAAATCTTATAAATTTCTGGAAAGAAAACTATATATATAGGATTTTTCATCTGTAATGCTCAATGCTAGAGAACAAAGAAGCAGTATCTGCAAAATGCTGAATAAAACCCAAAATATCTACTAACCAGTCCATCAATCAAATATGAGGGCAAAGCAAAGGCATTTTTCAGATAAGCAAGCACTCAGAAAGTATGCCATTTCTACACTGTTTCTGAGAAGCATCATTTGAGCGTGTACTCAATGAATCTGAAAAGGGAAAATCATAAGATCCAAGAAACAGTCAAGAATACATCAGTAAAATCTGAAGTCAATCCAAAAATTGCAGGTGTCTTCAATCTAAATGTTTAGAGACTTCTTAAAACAGAAGAGATATTACAAAAATCTAGAAGTTAACTTTCCTACTGTTTCAGCATAACATGGGAGGCGAAGGTATGGAGGAAGGAAGAAGGAAAAGTATTCCTGTGTGCAATGAAGCACACAGGTCTCTAAAGGCAGAGCCTGAGTACACATCGTGGCTCTATTACTCCCTAGCTGTGTGCCTTTGGGAAAATTACTTATCTTCTTTGTGCTTTAATTTCCTTATCTGTAAATAATGGTAATAATAATTGACTCTTCTTGCACAGGGTGGATTTCAGGATTTATTGAGTTCATACAGATAAGATACTTAAAATACATAGTAAACAATCAATAACTATTAGCTACTATTGGTGGTAACAGGTTTTAGATGATTAATTCTTTATATCAAGATAAATATATTTGCTAATAATTTAAGGGAAACAACCAGTAAAATAAAAATGGGATATAGATAACAGATAATTCAGCACATACCAAGAAAATCATTTTTGAAAAGCATGATGCACAGAAAACATAAAATCAGATGGCAGGAAGAAGTACAAACACAGAAGTTATCTTAATGAATATGAAAACAGGTTAAATTTACCAATTAAAAAAAGAGTATCAGAGGAATCTGAATAGAAAAAATAAAATCCGACAATGAGAAATATACCTAAACCAAACTGTCACAAAAATGTTGAAAAATAGCATAGATAAAGGCATACCAGGCAGATAATATAAAAAGGAAAGTGGATGTGGCAATATTAATTTTCTACAAAGAAGAATTTAAAGCAAAAATCATTAAATAAGACAATCCTGTAGTAACCACGCAATGAATAATTGCTCTGTTTATGTAAAGCAAACATTATTAACATTATAAGACAATTTTGAAAGAAAAAATGCATTCTTAATGTTATATATGAAGACAGCATTCTGAGAAAATAACAGATAAAATAGAAAATAAATTGGTGTACTAGAACATTTAGAATAGCACTATTAATTATGTGATATAACATGTAAATTCAAACTCTTCCAAAATGAAAAATGAACATTTTTAAAACCCTCATAAAGCATTTATAAAAACTAAACATTGATATCAATAAATTAATCATAAAGGCAAAATACAAAAGAAACTAGTTAGAAATTTTAAGACATTCTTCTAAATGATTTTTGATTAAATGATCAAAACTTGAATCACAGACTATACAGAAATCAACATTAATGGGAACTCTACACCATCCATGGGATATAGTGTAAGTTGTCTTGAAAGGAGAAAGGTATAACTTACA